GTGATGAAGTTGGTGGAGATGATTATGCATTCATGGCAAGTGAAGGCACGTCTATGGCTGCCATGTCCAAATGGATCATTGATTCGGGTGCTACCAAGCACATGACTCCATACAAGTGTTCATTTGACACTTATGAGACTATTCCAACAACAAAAGTATGGTTAGGAGATAATGGCATGGTACAAGCCATTGGAATTGGCTCCATTCTGGTGGAAATTGCTGTGAAGAATCAAATGAAGAAGATCAGATTGAAAGAAGTATTACATGTGCCAAAGATGAAGAAGAAAGCTTCTTTCGGTGAGTAAATTTGTTTCTTATGGTTGTAAGGTGCAATTTGATATGAATGGATGCTTTGTGAAGACAATGGATGGAGATAATCTTTTGAAAGGCTTTAGAGATGGCAATCTCTACTTCATCAATTGTAAGAAAGTGAATGGAGTTGAAGTGGCGGCATTTGCTGAATTTCCACAAGATCAAGACAAGTTTGGCATTTGGCATCGACGCCTTGGTCATTTGAATGCCAAAAGTATGAAGGAGCTCCAATCCATGGTTAGTGGCTTAGATCTTGGTCAATCATGCACAAATCTTACTTGTGAAGGTTGTATTCAAGGCAAACAACAAAGAGCTTCATTTCCAAGTGGAGTTGCAACACGTGCAACCAAATTATTGGAGATTGTGCATTCTGATGTTTGTGGACCTATGAAGACACCATCAATGGCAGGATCAAGGTACTTTGTTACATTTATTGATGACTTTTCAAGGAAGGTGTGGATTTTCATCCTTAAATCCAAGAGTGAATGCTTTTCAAAGTTTAAGGAATTTAAGGCACTTGTGGAGAAACAATGTGAGTACAAGATCAAGATGTTGCGTACAGACAATGGAAGTGAGTATTTATCAAAGCATTTTGATGAGTATTTGAAGATTCATGGTATTGCAAGACAAACTTCCACTCTCTATACTCCACAACAAAATGGAGTTGCTGAAAGAGCAAATCGAACTATTGTGGGGATGACAAGGAGTATGATTCATGCTGAAAACCTTGGGCATGAATTTTGGACAGAAGCTGTGGTGAATGTAATGTATACAAGGAATAGGTGTCCTAAAAATGCACTTACATCAATGACTTCACAAGAAGCTTGGAGTGGGAGGAAACCTTGTGTTTCACACATGAGGAATTTTGGATGCATTGCTTATGCAAAGGTACCAGATTGTATGCGGTCCAAATTTGATGCAAAAGGTACAAATTGTATATTTTTTGGATATTGTGAAGGTACCAAGGCATATAGGCTAATGTGTTTGGATACCAAGAAGATTATCAAAAGTCGTGATGTTGAATTTATGGAGCATAAAAGTTCTTGTGAGCACTTGGAGATGTGTCCAAGTGGGAGTAATGGTGTGTTTGTGGACACATCTTCAATTTCAGCAACGAAAGAAGAAGAAGAAGATGAAGACAATGAAGATAGTGGAAATTTGAATCAACATGAAGAACCAAAAAAGATGAAGAAGAAGAAGAAGAAAGTGTATACAATTGGGATGACAAACAATAAAGAAGTTGAAGATGATGATGATGATGAGGAATACCAACCTTTGAGTGAGAAGAGACAAGGTTCAAAAGAAAAGAAGGTTGGAGAGCATCAAGGTGAATCTTCTTCAAATGATAGGAGATATCCTACAAGAGAAAGAAAACAACGTGGTGAATGGTGGAAGGACCACATCTTTCCTCAAGTAAGTGAAGAACATGTCAATGTTGCACTCCTTGCTGATTCATTGAATATATGTGATGCTATGAAGTCTACGAATGCGTTGAAGTGGGAGGAGGCTATGGAAGAAGAGTACAAATCTCTCATAAGCAATGGAACATGGGAAATGACTCAACTTCCACCAAATCAATCTTCAATTGGTTGTAAGTGGGTATTTAGAACCAAGAGGGATGCAATGGGTGATATTGTGAGATATAAGGGAAGGCTAGTTGCCAAAGGATACTCACAAGTTGCTGGT